TGGGAAGCAGTTCCAGAGCATTGCCCAGGGACTCCGTGACACTGGCAGAGTGAGGAAGCATCATGTGCTCCTTCCATGGTCTTTGGGGCCGAGGCTTGTGTGAATGACAGAGCTCGTGCACATAGCCAGGAACCGTTGACCATGTGGAGCCAGCTGGAGGGCATCCTGGACTGACGAGCCTCCAAGCTTGGAGTGCCCCCGCCCTCCTCTGGACTCCACAGCCTCAATACACTATCTAGGGCACCCACTGGTGGCAATGGACACTGCCAGGCAAGCACCCAGCACCCGAGGACAGAGCTGCCCGCACAGATAAGGTACTTTGCTAGGTAGGACTGATACCAATAGTTAGCAGGGGCCCAGCCCTCCCAGACCCCTTGCGGGGGAGACAGGGCCCAGAGAGCCAGCCACGGGGCTGGGGGTGGGCATCACCGCAAAGGAAAGCGCCAGCCTTGCTGGCACGGGAAGGCAGAGAGCAGAGCCAGCCGGATTCCTCATGCCGCAGCCTGCAGAGCCCTGGGATTAAACAGGAGCAAGGTGGATCAGCTCCCACTACCCCCCTCTGCCTCCTGGGCAAACACCTGCGAGCAGCACCTCCCTCCCACCCACAGATTGAAGTCTTGTCCCATTCCCTTCCCCCCACCCCACATTCCACAGATACTTCCCACCCCAACTCCCAATGGCCCCTAGGAAGTGGGTCAGGACATGGCTTGGGGCCCTGCTGTGGGGCAACATGGGGCAGAGCCAGCTCCAGCATCACCTCAAGCCTCGTCCCCACACAGGGGCAAGTGCTGGCAGAGGCACCTCTGGGAGAAATAGATCCTTCCCCCTCCACCTTGCTCCCTGGGGATCCACCACCCACAGGCTCCCTTCCAGCAAGGAGGCAGCACCAGCAACATCCCATTATGCAGGGGGGGCAAACATGGCACACTGCAGCTACTCTCCTGGACAGCAACTGGCCAGACCTTTCCTAGCAGCCACACCTACGCTGGGTAAGCCACATCAGGGCCACACAGGAACAAGGCACCAGAAAGATCCAGCAGCCAGCTGGGGGGTGAGGGAGCAAGTCAGAGCCACAGCCCTGGAGTCACCCAGCTCCTCCACCCAAGAGCCTTGAGCAAACCTAAGTGGAATTAATTTGAGCACAGGGGATCCTACCCCATGCCCTTGGTGCCACGGACCTCGCTGCAGCAGGGGGTGACCTGAACACTCACCCCACCGCCTGTATATTCCTCTCTGAAACACACAGAACTAGCCCTGTCGTTCCCCCCGCCCCTCAATCCCTGCATAGCCCAGCCAACAGCCCAACCCAGCCATGCTCCACCCCGCAGATCAGTGCCAGTCTCCCATTTGGGTGCCCTATGCACCCACCAATACGGTCAGGCATTTCTCCTTTCCTCCTGATTTTTGGTTTCAAGGGAAATGAAGGAAGGCAGGAGCTGAGTGCTGAAGCAGCCTTTCCTCTTCTGCCCCCCCATTGCCCAGCTCCTCAGATTGCTGCAGGAAGCAGAGAGCAGCCCCTTCCCACACAACTCCCTATCTTGCTGCTCCCTCTGTGCCCATGTGACCTGAGCTCTGCCTGACACCAGCCCAGCTGCCTGGCTGCAAACCCCTGTTAGCAAGAGTCAAAGGAATGCGAAGGAATGGGACAAGCTGCACAGATCCCCCTCTCCACACAGCCCAGCGCCTGACCATTCCACCGGCCCCTGCCTGCACTGCACACACCCCGCTAGCGTGGATGCCTATTCATCTCCCCTCTCCAGATAGGTATAAATAACATGACAGATGTCTATACAAAGAGTTATTCATATCCCTGCCAGCGCACAGCTAGAGAGAGAGAAAGGGAGCCGGGGGGGCACACCAGTATACTAGCTGGGGGTGCCTGTGCCACAGACTCCGGGCACAGAGAGTTCTGAGGGAGAGGGGGCGCGCAGTGTGCCATTCACTGCCACATGGGGTGCTAGGGAGCAAGCCGGGACACTGGGTCTCGCACACATGTTGCGCGGACAAGCTCATGCAGAGCAGCTTCTAACTACACAGGGATCAACTTTGAGCCGTGGGGCTTGTCTCCAGCAGTTGGTACTCGAGGGCCCTGTTCAGGGCTGGGGTCGGCAGGACCCGCTTGCACATGCTCTGACTGTGGCCCAAGCATCCAGCCCCAGGCAGTGTTTTCAAGCGAGGTTGGGGTCGCAGAGCCAGCAAAATAAAATACTTAAAGCCAGATTGTGAGGGGCACTAAGCCTGGGCTGCTCCCAGATTAGGGCACAGCCCCCAATATTTCAGACCTCTTTAAGTGCTGGGCCCAGGCGCAGAGCAGCGGCAAGGGTCAAGGGCAGTGCCCCAGGGAGGCCAAGCAGCCATTTTAATGGTGCCACCCCTGCCACGGGGGTTGAAATGCTGCTGACCCTCTTGTAGGAGCCTGCAAATCCAAGAGCATGGAGATCCCCACCCCCAGGCTCAGCCCCACCCCAGAGACCAGGCTGGGGGCTGCCAGGCAGCGAGCAGACAGCTGTGCCCTCAGGGCTGGTGGCTGTTTGCAAACAAGGCCAGACAGACGGAGGAGCCAGGTGTGACCCCTGCATGCCAGCACTGCCTACAGGCAGCCACCCTCCTCTGGGCCTGAGCATGGGGAGTCGGGAGAGCCCAAGGGAACAGGAGGGAAAGGCACCAGACATCCCTTAGTTAGGAGGTAGCCAGCTCCAGCCCGCTCCAGCCTCGGGTAGAGCCCAGAATCCCATGGGGGAGTCACGGAGCTTGACTCATGCAATGAGCCCTGGGGAACCCAGTCCCACCAGCACCACCACGTGCTGGCTCAGTGTATCCACTGGAGCAAAAAGGGGGTGGGTCTTTCCTTCTGGGAACGGTGCTACTGCGAGAGGGGTCCTGCTCCTGGGAGGGCCGAAGGCACAAGGGGCTACCCCCTGTGCCAAGGCAAAGGCACATCCCCAGCTCCAGGGGAGCCCATGACAGGACAGCTGGGGATGGGGGGGTGGGGCAACTTCGCCCTCACTTTCTATCAGGAAGGAAGCATTTCACAGGGCTCAGCCAGCCCCAGGGTCCAGCTGCTTGGGCTCAAGGCTCAATCACATGGGGAAATTTCCTCTAAGCAGATAGCAGAACATAGCTGGGCCAGGCCCCCTCTCCCGAAGGGGACAGAGCCAGCCAAGGGGAATCCCCAGCCACACCCAAACAAGGAGCCTCCTGGGCAGGGTCTCTGTACAGCCCCCCACACAAGGGGCCCTAAGGCTGAACCGGGGCTATGACAATACACACAAGAGCAGGCGTTGAGGAAAAAGCAGCTCTGGGGCGGCCAGTCCACCAGAGCGAACAATCCCACAGGAGCTAGGCCATTGGGGCTGCCAGGAGGGATGGGGTCGAGCTGTGGAGGGCAGGAAAGCGGGGATCAGAGAGCGCTCTCTGAGCACAGAGGGGGAACTGAGAACTAAGGCAGTGGCTGGTAGGGGGCAGGAGCCAGGGGCAGCGCCTGCCCTCCAGAGCCACTGGACTCCCATTGCCAGAGGCATCCCCGGCCCCTGCTCCGCGGCTGGGTTTCACAGAATAATGTGCCAGCCTTACAACAGCTGCGCCCTGTCTGAAATTAGCTCTACTGAAAATCAACAGCTGAGCAGCACCAAGCAGCCCGCCCACCCCACGGGGATAGCCAAGGGGGGGAGGGGAGGAGGAGAGAGAGAGAACTGACACCAGGCAAATCCCCCCTCACACCCACCCCCACTGTGAACTCAGAGGAAGCAGCTTCTCCCTCCACCCTGTCCCCATCCCGCAGCTCTGGGCTGTAACAAGTGCAAAGCGCATCCAGCCACCGTGGATCCCCGGGGCCCCTGCTCTGCTCGGCGTGTGGGGAAGGTGCCTCTGACCCAAGCGCCCCCAGCCCCTCCGCTCCGCCAGCCAGGGGGCTCGCCTGCGGCCATGCCCGCTGCTGCTGTGGGCGTGGAGGGGGGACACCCCGGGTGGGGAGAGCCAAGCTGCAGAGCCAGCGCAGGGAGAGGGAGTCGGGGGAGGGAGCCCCGCCCCAGGCTGCTATAGGGTGGGGGGGGAACGTGTCCCTGGAGGGTTTTATCACAGAACGTAAAACCTTTCGCTGGAGATTGCTCCGTAACGCCTGGGGGCTCTGGGGCACCCCGGGGAGGGCTGAGACCCACCCTCCACCCCCAACTACAGCCTCAGAGCCCCTGGGCCGAGCCCCCTACCCCAGCCCCCCACCCCCAACTATCACCCCGCCCCCCCCAGAGTCACACCTGCCCCCCTCTGCCACGCCCCCCCCAGAGTCAGACCTGCCCACCTCTGCCACGCCCCCCCCAGAGTCACACCTGCCCCCCTCCGCCCCATTTAGAGTCGCCCCGGGGGCCCCAGAGTCACACCTGCCCCCCTCCCGCCCCATTTAGAGTCGCCCCGGGGGCCCCAGAGTCACACCTGCCCCCCTCCGCCACGCCCCCCCCAGAGTCACACCTGCCCCCCTCCGCCCCATTTAGAGTCGCCCCGGGGGGGCCCCAGAGTCACACCTGCTCCCCTCCGCCCCGCCCCCCGAGTCACACCTGCCCCGCCCCCCCCGAGTCACACCTGCCCCCCTCCGCCCCGCCCCCCCCAGAGTCAGACCTGCCCCCCTCCGCCCCATTTAGAGTCGCCCCGGGGGGGCCCCAGAGTCACACCTGCCCCCCCCAGAGTCACACCTGCCCCCCTCCGCCACGCCCCCCCCAGAGTCACACCTGCCCCCCTCCGCCCCCCATTTAGAGTCACCCCGGGGGGGCCCCAGAGTCACACCTGCCCCCTTCCGCCCCAGCCCCCCCCCCAGAGTCACACCTGCCCCCTCCGCCCCGCCCCCCCCAGAGTCACACCTGCCCCCCTCCGCCCCGCCCCATTTACAGTCACCCCGGGGGGGGCCCCCGGAGTCACACCTGCCCCCCCGCCACACCCCCCGGAGGGCCCCCGCCCCCCCTCAGAGTCACCCCCGCCGCCGGAGTCGCCCCGGGGCGGGGGGGGCCCACCTTGGAGTAGAGCCCCCAGGAGAGCTCGGTCTCGATCACCATGACGACGATGCCGAACATGCCGAAGATGAGCGCGTAGTCGCTGAGGCGTTTGCGCTTCTCGAAGAGCGCGCGCCGGTGCCCGAGCCGGTAGCCGATGTTCTGGTGCTTCCGCTTGGGCGCGCGGGCGAAGGCGCCGGGCGCGGGCGGGCGCCGGGCGGGCGGCGGCGGCGCGGGCGGGCCCCCCCCCTCGCGGGACACCACGATCTCGGGCGGCGGCGGCGGCGGCGGCGGGGCGGGCGGCGGCGGGCCCGGGCCGAAGGGCTGCAGCGGCTGCCCCTCGGGCTCGGCCTCCAGCAGGTTGCGGCGGGAGGCGCTGAGGCGGCTGAGCGGCTTCATGCCGCCGCCGCTGTACTTGCAGGAGCTGACGGCGATCTCGGTGAAGGGGTTGCTGTCCCGCCGCGGCGCCAGCGGGCTGGGCTGCCGGTGCCGGGGGCCCGGCGCGGGGCCGCCCGGCGGCTCGCTCAGGGCCCGCTGGCTGCCCGGGCGGGCGGCGGGCGGCGCGCCGGGCGAGGCGTGCAGCAGCCGGGGCCCGGCCCGCGGCGGCTCCTCGGGGGCCCCCGGCGGCGGCGGCGGCGGCGCCTCCATGCTGAGGGGGGCGGGGGCCGCCTCAGCGCGCGCCCCGCGGCGGCCCGTGCCCGGCGGCCTCCCTCCCGCGCGCGGGCATGTGCGGGGCGGCGGCGGGGGCGCGGGGCGGCTGGGCGGCTTCGCCGGGGCTGCGCGGCGGGCGCCTTGTGCTCGCCGGCCCCGCCCCCCCCGCGCCCGGCCCCGCCCCCTCGCGCCCGCCGCCGCAGCCTATTGGCCGCCCCGCCCTGCCTGGCCGCGGGGCGGGGCCGCGCCTGCGCGGAGCCGGCGGGCGGGGCGGGACTTGTAGTTGGCCGCCTGCCCGGGAGGGGCGGGGCGCGCCGGGCACCTGTGGGGCGGGGCCTAGGGGCGGCGGCGTCTGCTGGGAGCGCCCCGAAGAAGGGGATGGGAGGGGCGAGGCGAGGGGGTGCATGGTGGGGGCAGGGGGCCTAGGTGGGTTGGGTGCGCGATGGAACCAGGGGGTGCATGGTGGGGGCAGGGGGCCCTAGGTGGGTTGGGTGCGCGATGGAACCAGGGGGTGCATGGTGGGGGCTGGGGGCCTAGGTGGGTTGGGTGCGCGATGGAACCAGGGGGTGCATGGTGGGGGCAGGGGGCCTAGGTGGGTTGGGTGCGCGATGGAACCAGGGGGTGCATGGTGGGGGCAGGGGGCCTAGGTGGGTTGGGTGCGCGATGGAACCAGGGGGTGCATGGTGGGGGCAGGGGGCCTAGGTGGGTTGGGTGCACGATGGAACCAGGGGGGTGCATGGTGGGGGCTGGGGCCCTAGGTGGGTTGGGTGCGCGATGGAACCAGGGGGTGCATGGTGGGGGCAGGGGGCCTAGGTGGGTTGGGTGCGCGATGGAACCAGGGGGTGCATGGTGGGGGCTGGGGGCCTAGGTGGGTTGGGTGCGCGATGGAACCAGGGGGTGCATGGTGGGGGCAGGGGGCCTAGGTGGGTTGGGTGCACGATGGAACCAGGGGGTGCATGGTGGGGGCAGGGGGCCCTAGGTGGGTTGGGTGCATGATGGAACCAGGGGGTGCATGGGTTGGTTGGTTGGTGCCTGGTGGGGGCCTAGGTGGGTTGTGTGTGTGGAGGGGGCGCGGGGCAGCTGGGGTGCATAGGTGGGTTGGGTGCATGGAGGGGGTGGGGGAACGCATGGGTGGAAGTTGAGGTGGGAGCAGGAGGTGCATGAGGCAGAGTGAGGGGCACTGCAGTACAGCAGGGACTGAATTCCTTTCCCAAGTGCCCCAGAAGCAGGAATTGGGGAATTCCTGCACAGAGATTTGGGGGAGCAACCAGACCCCTCATTTTCTCTTTGTTCTGCCCTTCTCTTCCCACTGTGGGATCTGTTTGAAACTGGCCCTGGGGGTTGGGAAGGGGATGGGGGGTGACTCATTAACCTCCCCCGCATCTATTCAGCCCCTTGCCCCAAAGTGACGGAGAGGCTCTAAGTGTAAAGTGGCGTGGATGTGACCACACTCACACCAGTCATTACACAGTAAAGACTTGTGAGGTGAGGCAGCTGTCTGGTCTGTGAGAGGCCTGGGGATGCCCCCCATCCCTCAATCCATCTATCTCCCATCTGGTCTGTCAGAGGCCAACATGACCCCCAGGAACTGTGAAATTGGAACAATACTCTTTGGACTTAACGGATGCAATCATTTGATATTTGGAATGAAACCATAGAAGGGGGTCAGGTTGCCGTAGGGCTAGAGGAGAGTCCATCGGCTCAGAGACCCATTAGAACATCCCATTCAGTCCCCTCTCATTTACAAATGCAGGTTATAAAGTTATGCTAAAAATTTCATCCCAGTGGGCCCTCACAAGTCTTCTACACTCAGGGTATGCCTTTCCCCACACTTGCAATGCAGTCACTTCTGGGGAGGGGCATAGCAGCACTTTAACAGCATACAGCAAGGCTAGACAGCCGTTGAAAGACATCAACTGAAACTGCAGGGGGCTTTTGATTGACGCAGTGGGATTAGCAGAGTTAGAACTTGGCTGGGACAAGAGATTTCACAACCTGCCTTCTGGGGAAAGTGCCATGGGATCCCTGTCTGCAGCAGCTGCACCCCGGGGACTGCTTCAGAGGGAACGAGCACCCTCTACTGAATCACCTCACCATTTTCTCCTGGAGCGCAGGCTGGGTGTGAGTTGGCCCTGTCCTGCTCAGCTTGGAGAGCTGAGGGCAGATCACAACCTGAGTTGAAATGGCTGCTTCAAAAATAAGCTTGTTCTGGCTTCATGCTGTTGGTACCAGGAAATCTGCCCCCTGCCTTTCTCACCTGGAGCCAGTCACGTGCAGGTAAGTGAAACATCGATCATGGTCATTCCAACCAGCAGGAGCGTCCTGGATTTGCTTTTTCTCAGTGTAAAGGGCAAGAGGACTGAGCCACGGGTTGGAGAGAGAACACCGTTAGCAAGGGGGCATTGCTTCGGCTGTGAAGCAAGGTAGCTTTCTAGGGAAAGGAAGACACATCTGCGGTCTCTTTCTGTATGCGGCATGCTTCCATCTGCTTCCTGCTTTTGCAATGCTCAGACCGGGATTGCTGGTATCCCTCGTGCTCTCCTGTGGCTTTTCCAGTGGCCCAGCTGGACTCTTGGCGTGTTTTCTACCTGCGTCTCATGGGCGATATCAGGCATGTTTGGGTTGATCTAGCCCCGTGTAACACTGATCCATCTGCTCAGGTACAATGGATGCAGATGCCCCAGCCCCCATATGTCCACACAAGGTGCAGGGGAGAGGCAGAGGGCTGCTTTAGTTAAATGCAGCGTTTAACCACCTCAGAGGCCTCCATCCCCTGCGAGTGGTTTGGCTGCAGACGCCAGCCCACTATAATTACATTTTCCATGGCATTACATATGGATGGTTCAGGTTCTGCTGTTTCCACTCCGGGCTTGATTGTGCCAAGCAGCAGCTGCCAGCCGCCAGGATCCTTGTCTTGTTCTTGGAGGAATTTCATTTAAAAAATGGCTTTTAATTGCACCTGCTATTAGCTGGCAGTACCGAGTGAATGGCCGCACCCATCTCCAGGCTGGCACTCCCGCTGCTCGCAGTCTGGGATGGCAAACTCATTCCTCATGTGGGCGGGGGGGGGCAGTAAACGTGGGCTAATTCAGGGTGGGGGCAGCTGGCTCATCCAAAAACCAGGTAGGTACCTGAAGCACCGCCTCTCTCTCCAGGGCTGATGAACACGTGGCTCTTCAACGACCATCCAGTCAGATAAAAGAAACACGGCTCATCATGGGCAGAGTCTGGCTGGGAGGCAGAGGAGCATCCTGGTAGCAAATGCCCGAGCTGCCAACTTCCCAGGTTCCCCAGAGAAGAGAGCATAAGGGATTAATAACGTCACAGCGCCCCCCTTCCCATTGGGCCCTGATCCTGCAACGAGCCCCTGCACAGCTCATCACAAGATGGGGTCTTCGTTTCCTGGAGGTTAGTAACAACTCAAGGGAGCTTAAAATTAACATTGTTGTGACTGGCTGGCGGCCTGTGTGTGCACGTACTTGTACAATCCCTGCTCTTTGCTGGGTAACTGTGTGTCATAGGTGCTATACTGTCTCCAGCTGAAGGAGAATCTCCTTCAGGCCAAGCAGCAGGTGAGCTGGGATCTAGAGCATGAGGATCCACGTTCTAACGCCAGTAGCTGCCGTGAGTTGCCCGGGGCAATGGCTTCGTTACGCTGTTTTAAGACCCACACTTCTTTGGCTTTGTTGATTATCTGCAGGTTAAACTCCTAATTCAGGCCCCGATCTTGCAGGCTCTTAGGAACGTGCCTGGCTGTCTGTGCTGAGGCCAGCACAGTGCTGGTGTGCAGCTCATGTGTTCGTATCTGTGGATCAAGCCCGCTCTTTACTGCCCGAGTGCTGTTTGCAGTGCCGCGTGTAGAGAGCCAGGATCCACTAGCCCACCTCTCTCCCTGCCTGCTCTGCACAAGCCCCATGCTGCCAGCACAGGAGGGGGAATCACCACAAACAGAGCCGCTTCCACCAAGGTTCACAAAATCCCACAGCTGCAGCATCACTGGGCCTCTTGCAAAACCTCCTCTTTATGCCTAAATCAACCCTGCGGTGCCCCCGGAACACGGCAGTCAGGGCCAAGGCCGAGCGGAAGAGCAGCTGGCACGGAGCATGGCAATGCCATGGCCTGTCTGAGGAGCGGGACTCTGCCTCAAGAGATGCCCCTCACCTCATGGAAGCTAAGAACATAAGGAAGGAGAAGGGAGGCAACATGCCAATGGCTGAGCTCCATGTCCCTCTGTCTGCCTGGCGCACACATGCAGGACATGGAGGGCCAGCTGGGTCCAAGGGGCCGCCCCACAGTGGTGCTACCTTAAAGTTCCAGCTTTATGGCAGAATCTGCCCCTAATTGATGGGGGGTGTCTCCTCTCAGGGCAGCTCACTTCCAAACTGTCCATTCTAGGGGGGGCCTGGAGCATCTGTCCCACTACAAAAAGAAAAGGAGTACTTGTGGCACCTTAGAGACTAACCAATTTATTTGAGCATGAGCTTTCGTGAGCTACAGCTCACTTCATCAGATGTTTACCGTGGAAACTGCAGCAGACTTTATATACATACAGAGAATATGAAACAATACCTCCTCCCACCCCACTAGCTATTACCAGCAGGACAGTGGGGTGGGAGGAGGTATTGTTTCATATTCTCTGTATGTATATAAAGTCTGCTGCAGTTTCCACGGTAAACATCTGATGAAGTGAGCTGTAGCTCACGAAAGCTCATGCTCAAATAAATTGGTTAGTCTCTAAGGTGCCACAAGTACTCCTTTTCTTTTTGCGAATACAGACTAACACGGCTGTTCCTCTGAAACCTGTCCCACTACAGCAGCTCCCAGGCTGGTCGTAACCACGGTCGATACCTGCCTGCCTCTGCCCCATGCCTGGGAATGGGCCCCTCCTGTGGTGCTTAATGAGGTGTGTGGCAACCCCTGCTGGCACATCTGTGCCGAGAGAGACTCCCCCCAATGGCCGTAGTGGGAAGCCTTGCCCTACGCCCTCCCTTTCCCTGCTTCGTGCCCATTGCTTGCCCCATCTGCCAGGCCAGGCGTCTGCTTGTGTGCACTGGCTCCCCCTTTGCTCCATCTGCAAGGCATGAGTAGAGATCTAGGGGGCTGTGCCAGACCCCCCCTTCCTGCTGGTGCACCCTCCCATTACTTTATGGGGGTCTTTGCAGATCGAGCCCCGTGCCATGCCCCCTCCCCCACCCCAGGCTCCCTCCTGCCCGCGCTGCACCTCGGCAGCTCTGCGCTGGGATGCAAAGGCTGTTCGCATCAAGCTCTGCCTCTTCCCGGCGCTGCTAGCACCTGTCCCACTGCCCGTCCCCTCCACCCTCCCCAGCTCGAAGCAGACGCTGCGGCTGCCCATTCCCCAGCCAGGGGATAAGGGGGCAGCCTCCCCTGCTGAGATGGGGCACATGCCTCCCCAGCAGCACTGTATGGCCTCAGGGTGCCGAATGCGAGGAGCCCCAGCTGATGCATCCATAAAGTTGAGTTAAAGGGTTGCCATGGACATGGCTTCCTGCTGCTATCGCTCATGGGGACTCAGCCGTGATCTGCAGGAGGCGGATGCCTGCCCACGGGGCTGGCACGGGCAGAAGGGCTGGGCCAGGGACAGAGGGAGTTGGGTGCAGGAGGGAGCGGATGCCAATCCAGCTATCGCTAACCAGCCGATACCCCGCGTCCCCAGCTGGCACTAGGGTGGGCCGTTTGTCTGCTGCCTGGGGAGGGGGTCCCTGCATGGGCAGGGAGGGCGCTGTAGCTTGACACACACCACGCCAGCACCTTGTGTCCCCGCCGAATGGGGCCTAAGCCTCTGGGAGGGGAAATAGAGCAGGAGGGGGAGGCTGCAGAGTGGTTAACGGCCATCCCCCATCTGCGCCCTGCCAAGCTGTCTCCCAGAGATGGGGCCCAGGCCTCTCCCGAGAGGATGACCCTGCCCCAGGAGGTCCCTGCTCAGTTCAAGGGGCTGCTGCCCCTTTAAAGAGTCTCCCGTGGCTGCTGCGATTATATAACATCTCCTCTAATCGCCTTAGATGTGATTTTTGACAAGGCTGATGGCAGCAGACAGAGGGTGGGGGTTATGGGCAGCAGCTGGAGACAGGAGTTATGGAGCCCCTCAAGGCCAGCTCGGAGCAGGGGGCCTGGTCCCCCAGAGCTTCCGCCTGCCCTGACACAGGTCCCACAACCAAGCTCCATGCTGCTGAACAAGGGTTGGCTCCTGGGAGTGTTCTGTGGGGGTAGCATGGCAGCCTGTCTCCATCAGCCCACAGTGCAGAGCGCTTACCTTCACTGCAAGCAAACAGAAGCCAGATCAAACTATCAAACACTTGCTGCAAGGTTGCATTGAATTGTGGTTTGATTGCTTAGTCCCCAGAGCAGTAACACCCAAGAACCCAAAGCCAGAGAGAGACAAAGCAGGCTGCTCCCAGGGCAGACACACAACTGACCCCACCCTGGCTGGCTGGCTCTGGTCGGACAGGCTTCCCTGCAGAATGCCATAGGCTGCACGAGGAACAGGAATCCCCTGACATTTAAAGCAACAGCTTACAATGTCCATATGCCACAGGAACCACCCCACATTTGGGGTTCTCTCCCCTCAGGCCCCTAAATCACTGGCCGTTTGCTTCTGCCTCAGGGACTTATCCACAAAGCTGGGCGTTGAACCCAGCTCTCCCCTGCCCCAGCTCAGCCCTGAGACCTGGCCCAGCCTGTCTTCACCATCTTGAGAGGGGCTGGCAAACGCAGTCGCCTTGCCCAAGTCCCTGCTGCTTTCCCCTCCTGGGCCTCCAGGCTGCCTTGTTGGGCCGCCCCACCCAGGCTGCTGCAGGTGCGTGGGTGGACTGGCCCAGGGGCTGTAGATGAACGTGGCCCCCGAAGCTCCCCCTGCCATCGAGTGCAGGGACCTTGAGCGACCCCACCACTCTCCGTCAGACTGGCTTGGCTGGGCACCCCCAGACCCAGCTGCCTGGTCAGTCCTCCCTCCCCCAGGCTGGGAAGGGGCACGACTGGACCCAAAGCTCAGCCTAGCCCTGCAGTAACCACATACCCTACCATGGCACTGAGTGGGGGCTGGGCTGTGCCGCTCAGCACCCCCAGCCCAGGGCTCCCCAGCAATGCGAGTGTGTGGCTGGAAAGCCGGGGGCAGCGAGTGAAAGCAGTTCAGCTCCCACAGCAAGAGGGGCTGCAGGCCCACCCGTCGTGCAGCTAGTCCCGCCCGGGGTCTCAGGGCAGCCCTCCTCCTAGACACTGCAGCGGTGCTGGCCCAGGGCTCCGGGAGCTCCCGCTCTCATGGGCTCCCAATGCAGCAATGCCCCACAGCAAGGGCACGTGAGTCACAGTCCTGCCAGCCCCAGAATGTGGCCCCTGTGAGAAATGAAGTGGGAGGGAAGGGGGAAGAGAGGGCTGCACAGCCCCAGCCCCCTTTCTCCTCTCCGGGCAGTATTTAGGTCTAGGACGAGGGCTGCTGGAATCCAGCACAGAACCCCTGGTCCCCCTTATTACCTCGGAGCAGCCCATGGGGCAGTGTCCTCCAGCCCCACCCTGACCCAGCCAGCTGCTCCACACGGAAACAGGATTGCAGTTGTTAGTTATTAGATTGGCTCGTTCTGCTTAGGACATAGCTAATCCACAGGGAATTGGCTGCAGCAAAACTATTAACCACAGCACAAGGCGCCCAGCTGCCATGCCCCCGCCGCACCGGCCCCAGGAGTTAAACCGCTTACCCATGCATGCAGGGCAGGGGACTCCTGGCTCTCGGAGGGGTGCAGGCTCAGCATGGGGGCTGAGGCAGTTGGAGGGGCTGTGGCTCCAGCCTTTGATTTTCCTCTCTACAGATCCAAACAAACCTGCCTCCAAAACCCAAACAGGAACACCCACCCCCCCAACCTGCAGCGAGGGCTCAAACTTACTTTAACTTTTGTCTGGGCTGGTGACTTTCTCGATCCAGGATGGCCCCCAGTCTCCTGCCCCAGCTAGCCCAGCCCTGAACCTGCCCCCCACCCCTTTGCTGGTGCCCCTCAGTCCCAACCCACAGTCCTCCTTGCCCCTCCACCCCCTGGAGCCAAGTGGGTGAGATGTGGACAAATATTCAATAGGGACCAACAGGCCATATGCTCTGGCCTCGAGCTCCGTGCCGGAGACCCACGGGTTGGTGCCTAACGCTGACATGCCCTCACGCTGGGGGGCTGGAACTCTGGGGCCTGGAGTGTCCCCCCTCCTTTTAGAAAAATGGGGGACCATCAAGTGCAGTCCCCCCTGCCCCCGAGCCAGCCGGTCCCCTGCCCCAGAGGGAAATGGCCCCGTACCCCCTGCCTCACCCCCTGAGCCAGCCAATCTGGGCCTGGAGCCGCACAGGAGCTGGTCCCCCTAATCCCCCAACTTGCTCTGACAGCTTGGAGAAAGCCGAGGCCCAGGGGCTGCACCGTTGACAGGAGGCCACTAGAGGGAGCTGCAGATTCAGCCAAGACGCACCTGGTCCCAGCACCGGCACCGGGCTGCAGGTAACCAGGCCAAGGGGCAGGATGGGGCCGTGCTGTCTGGGAAGCAGCTCCCAGCAGGGACCGGCAACGCTCCATGAACCCGGCTGGCAGCCCGAGCTTGCGGGGGGATAAATGCCACTGAACCCCCGCCCCACCATCTCACTAGGGCTGCCCCAGTTCCTGCCCAGACAGGCTCCTTCCTGCCATGCTGTGGGCCCCAGGCCTTCAGCCCGCAGGGGAGAGCCCCCCCATTGGTGAGCCCCATAAGCAAAGGGCTCTCAGCCCAGCTGGAGCAATTCATGGACCAGTGGAAGGAGACATCCTGTCTGCAGCTGAGAGCACTGGGGGTTGTAATGGGCTTGGCACTGCCCTGCTTCCCTTCCAGCCAGAGGCACCCCACACTCCCACCCTCGCACCTAACTCAGCATTGGGGCACAGTGCCCCCCGCTGGTGAGAGTGCCGCTCACTCACCAGCCTCACAAAATCGTAGACTGGAAGAGACCTGGAGAGTTCATCTAGCCCAGCCCCCCGGACTCATGGCAGGACTAAGTATCATCTAGACCAGGGGTTCTCAAACTGGGGATGGGGACCCCTGAGGGGATTGTGAAATTATTACATGGGGGGGTCATGAGCTGTCAGAGGCTTCCTGTGTGAAAGGGGTCCCCAGTACAAAAGTTTGAGAACTACTGATCTAGACCATCCCTGACAGGGTTTTGTCAAACCTGCTCCTACAAACTTCCAGTGATGGAGATTCCACAACCTCCCTGGGCAATTTATTCCAGGGCTTCACCACCCCGAGAGTCAGGAATTTTTTCCTAACATCCAGCCTAAACCACCCTTGCTGCAATTTAAGCCCAGTGCTTCTTGTCCTATTCTGAGAGGCTACTGAGAACCATTTACCTCCTGCGACAGAGAGCCAGCCACCGGACGTCCTTGGGCAATGCCAGTGCAAGCTGCCTCTGGGGAGGGGGCGTGAATGGCTGAGCTCCACCACCCAGGCAGCCCCTCCCCCAGAACCCTGCATCACGGGGGCTGGGATTTCACCCCATTGTCACGCGGTAAATAACGGGCGCACACGGGTCGGCGTTTCTCACCTGTCAGCTTTATTCCAGGGGCAGCGACACCTCATTGCTCTGGCTCCCCTCGTATTGACACCTGTCCTGGCGCCGTGGGCCGTGATTAGCGCACCCAGAGGGGGAGCTATGTTCCCAGCGGGGGTTTGCAGCAGGCAAGGTGGACGGGCATGAGCGGCTCCAGGTCCCCGGGACGCAGAAAGCAGTGCAGAGTGGAGCAGGCTGGTATATGGGCACCCATGACAAGGCACAGACAGCCGCCGCCGCCACAGGGGGCATGAGCCGTCTGGGCACAGTGGTGCAGGGAGGCTGGCAGCTAAGCAAGGGGCAGCAGTGCTGGGCATCACGGGGCAGGCGATGGCAGCCTCAGGCCATGCTGCCAATGAGCGGGGATGCAAAGGGACCCGGTGAGACGGGACCCAGCGGCCTGGGCCAGAGCCAGGGGTTCTCCACTGGGGGGTCGCGAGGTGTCAGCCCCGCACGCGGGGTCACCAGTACAAAGCGTTTGAGAACCCCTGGCCTGAGCGGTGGGCGCTACGCCCTCTGGGGGCAGACAGGGCAGCTACAGCTCGTTATGCAGCAGAGCCCTGCTCTGGGTCCCACCCCGGGGAGAGGGATTGCCCCAGAGGCTGAAGACAGGGCAAGAGCCCAGGGACCTGCTCTGGGGTCCTCTGTTTGGTCTCAGTGCAGGGTGGTCCCGCAGGGCGAGAGGCTGAACGGCACCTGCAGCAGGGCAGCGTGCAAACCCCCTGGAACGGGCTCTGAAAAGAACCACAGGAACTGGCCTTCTGCCCTCAAGGAATGGAGTCTGGCCGCAGCCCCACTCAGCGCGCCTGGCCCTCCACCTGCAGCGCCTCCCACAGTGGGGTCCCAGCCGGGATGGGGCTTTCTGCGACGTTTTCTTTGGTCTGAGTCCTGGGCTGTGCCCGGCCTCTCCTCCCGCTGCAGGACGCTATAATTTGCTGTAGATGAAGTGCAGCAGCTTCTCCAGCTGGCTGTCCAGGGAGAGCTCGTCCCCGTCGTTGGTGATGACCCAGTCGAAGGTCACGCCCTGGTCCAGGCCGCACTCGGACTCTGCGTTGTCCACCCCTGGAGAGGAGCAAACCCAGAGGTGTGAGCTCCCTGCAGATGGACTGGGGCAATGGACAAGCACCGTCCCCCCGACCCGGTGCTGGCCCCAGCACTCCCAATCCTGGCTGGATGGCCATGAGCTGCAGCCACACGGCTGAGGGCACCAGCCAGGGATGGCACAGCCAGGCAAACTCTGCAGAGCCAGCCTGGAAAACGGCTCTTCCCTAGCGCTCCTCCTCCAGCCTCAGCTGCTCCACACAGCTCAGCTGGGAGGGAGGAACCAGGGGGGCAGGGGCAGCGGCAGCTGGGGGTGCAATACGGCCAACCCCAGGGAGTTTTGTGCGGTCTCTCTTCAAGCCCCAGGAGTCAGGGAGAATCTCCACTCTCCCTTAGAGACCAGAGAAGTGCCCAGACTCATGGTGTGCGGGGAAACGAGACCCGAGCGTGACTGAAAGGCTCAGAGGCCGCAAGGCGAAGACCCGAACCGCCCGCACACCTCAGCATTTGCTGGTGCCTGGCTCGTGATGGCTGAACACGGAGCAGAACCTGGCAGTTCTCAGCCATTGTCGTTACCCCAAACCGGTGCCACTCACCCACTATGAACACCCAGTTCCTCCTCTTCCTCGTCTCCTCTGTCGCAACCACCCGCACCAGCTGCACCGCGGCCCCGTACACGTCCTGGAACCACTCCACGTCCGACAGGCGCCGTGTGTCACTCACCACCTGCGCGGGGAAGGAGACGTCACGGGGGGAGGAGGGGCTGCCGGCAAGGGGGAGTGGCTCCTAGTTGCCCCTCTCCCTGGCTGGCCCCCTCCTTACCCAAATGGGCTGCGTTACACCCTCCACCACGATCCTGCAGAAGAAGCCCGGGTCTGTGTTGCGTTTCTCCTCCCCCCAGCGGATCATGTCCTTCCGGTAGGTCTCTTTGTAATCGCTGGCGTCCAGCAGCCGCTGGAAATCCAGCCCGTGCTCCTGCAGAGAGAGAAGAGGTGGCCCTGAGCCTGGGCTCAGCCGCTCTGGGCGCCTCCTGGGCCGCAGGGGGGGTGGCAGGGCAGTACCTTGGCATACTGCTCCTTGAGGGGTCCCGACAGCTGGAGGATGGCGCAGACATCTGGCCCCAACCTGCCAGGGGGAGGCACAAGGGGTTGGAGGGTGACAGGCAGCGGCCCCGATTCCTGCCAGGCCCATGGGAAGAGAGAGATGCATTTCCCCCCTACCCCAGCAGTTCCCAAACGTTTATCCTGGGGACCCCTTTCGCACAGCAAGCCTGAGTGCCACCCCCCCTTATACATTTAAAACACCCGTATAAACGCTGGAAGCAAAACAGGGTTTGGGGGTGGAGGCTGACAGCTCACAACCCCCCAAGTAATAACCTTGCGACCCCCCAGTTTGAGAACCCTTGCCTACCAGCACCCCAGTGGTGGGGCAGCTGGGGCTGCTGCCAAGTCAGAGCCTCACCCTGATCCGGGGGGTGCCCCGACCCTGGGGGGCTTCCCAGGGCCAGACTGCGGCCAGCAACCCCCCCCCCAGGCCTTAGACCCCCACTACCACCCGATGGGGGTCCCGATACAAGCACCTTGGCGTAGGTGCCCCCCACGTGGGGCCCTCACTGCCCCCGCCCCTCGTGCTGCCCCATATCCCCGCCCCGGGCTCCTCCCTCCTCTCCTGAGCGGCGTCACGCCACCGCGGCCTCCCCTGGCCTGGATCGCCGCGAACGGAGCCACCCCCAGCTCCCCGCCCGGTCCTGGATGCCCGGCCCGGCCCGGCCCGGCCCCGGCTCCCCGCAAGCCCGGCTCCCCACACCCGGTCCCGGATCCCCCGGTCCGGTCCGGTCCCTGCTTCCTCCCCGCCGGTCCGATCCCGGATCCCCCGGTCCGGTCCCGGATCTGGACCCCCCCCGGTCCGATCCCGGTTCTGGATCCCCTCCCCAGTCCGGACCCTGCTCCCCCCCGGTCCGGTCCCGGATCTGGATCCCACCCTCCGGTCCGGTCCCTGCTCCCCCCCAGCCCGGTCCCGGTTCCCCCGTCCGGTCCGGTTCCTGCTTCCCCCCCGGTCCGGTACCGGTTCTGGATTTCCTCCGCCACGAAGTCCTTGCCCGACTTCCTCTTGCCGCTCAGCAGCAGCACCAGCCGCGGGAGCCCGGCCATGGGGCTCGGACACCCCCGCCGCGCAGCGCACGTGGGCCCGCCCGGGACAGACCATCCGGGCCGGGGGGGCCCCGAAACCGGACTCCCCTGCGTGGATTCGAGCAGCCGGAAGCTCCTCCTCCTCCTCGGGCCCGCCGTGGCACAGTCCGTTTTCACCCTGCCGCCTACGTGGTGAAACCCGATTCCCCCCCTCTGCTGGACATGGGCCGGCCCATCCCAGGCGCTGCTGCCCACGAGGGGGAGCGCTACCACTGCCACAAGAGAGGGGACAGTGGTGCAGCCCGAAAGGGGCGGAGTCAAGTCTGCTGGGGAGGAGCCTCCATAGCTCCTCCCCCTGGGTATGGAGGGGAACTGGGGGCTTGGCCTCGCCTCGTGTTACGTCCGATCCCCCAGCCAGTCCCACCCCCGCCGGGCAGCAAACTCCATTGGAAACAGACCTCTCCCCCTAGCACAGCGCCCCCTCTTGAGCCCCCTTCCCCCGCAGCACAGCGCCCCCCACGGAGCCCCTCTCCCCCCAGCACAGCGCCCCCTCTTGAGCCCCCTTCTCCCGCAGCACAGCGCCCCCCACGGAGCCCCCTGACTCTGCAGCACAGCGCCCCCCACGGAGCCCCTCTCCCCCCAGTACAGCGCCCCCTACGGAGCCCCCCTCCCCCGCAGCACAGCGCCCCCTACGGAGCCCCCTGACCCTGCCCCACAGCGCCCCCTACGGAGCCTCCCACCACCGCAGCACAGCGCCCCCTGCGGAGCCCCCTGACCCTGCAGCACAGCGCCCCCCGCGGAGCCCCTCTCCCCCCAGCACAGCGCCCCCTACGGAGCCCCCAACCACCGCAGCACAGCGCCCCCCACGGAGCCCCTTTCCCCCCAGCACAGCGCCCCCTCTTGAGCCCCCTTCCCCCGCAGCACAGCGCCCCCCACGGAGCCCCTGACCCTGCAGCACAGCGCCCCCTACGGAGCCTCCCACCACCGCAGCACAGCGCCCCCCACGGAGCCCCCTGACCCTGCAGCACAGCGCCCCCCACGGAGCCCCTTTCCCCCCAGCACAGCGCCCCCTACGGAGCCTCCCACCACCGCAGCACAGCGCCCCCCACGGAGCCCCTTTCCCCCCAGCACAGCGCCCCCTACGGAGCCCCCCACCACCGCAGCACAGCGCCCCCCACGGAGCCCCTTTCCCCCCAGCACAGCGCCCCCTCTTGAGCCCCCCTCCCCCGCAGCACAGCGCCCCCCACGGAGCCCCTGACCCTGCAGCACAGCGCCCCCCACGGAGCCCCTCTCCCCCCAGCACAGCGCCCCCTGCGGAGTCCCCTGACCCTGCAGCACAGCGCCCCCCACGGAGCCCCTCTCCCCCCAGCACAGCGCCCCCTACGGAGCCCCCCCCATCTGGAAGCTTCCTGCACCGCCACCCAGGGCTAGAAACTTACTTTTTCTTTACAGGGGAAGGCTGAAGCCGGGGGTCTGTCACTGCAGTGCAGCCAGATACTAAGGGCCCCTGCCAGGGCTGGGCCACGGTGCTCTGGTCCCCTTGTGCCGGGGGCTCCGGGGGGCTGCAGCTCCCTGCCCATCTCAGTCCCAGCATGGCCTAGCTCCAGCTCCGATGGCCCTGCCGAGGCAGCAGAGCCATGGGGCAGCTTTTGTCAAGCTGAGATCTGGCCCTCCAGCCCTTTAAAACCAGCCACAGCTGTGGGGTGTCCAGCTGCAGCCCAGGGCAACCACAGCGACCCCCAGCCAGGCTCCTGGCTCCAGCCAGGTGCCGAAAGCAGCCGCCCAGTCCAGCCCGGAGAGCAGGGGCAGGTGCCGGGGCCACGGGATGGGAGCTGATCGAGGGCAGCAGAAACAAGGCTTCCCCACACTAAGGGCCACAGGTGGTGAGAAGCCTCAACCCTGGGGCGTGTCCAGGGAACCCCCACCCCATGGAGCTGAGAGCAGCCAGCTGTCCCTGCACCCCAGAGGAGACCAGGGCTGGGGAGCCATAGCGAAGGGCCCAGCTTACTGGGAGGGGGAGAGCTCTGGCCTGGGGGGCCAGGCTGGACGCAGGAATCCCTGGGTGGGTTCTCTGGCCTGGGCGATGCGGGGTTGGGTGGAAGACGACAATGGGCTCTGCTGGGCTGACATGGGGCAGGCTGGCCTGGGGCCCACAGGAGCGGAGGGCCTGGGAGTGGCGGAGGAGGCGTCTCACCAGGCACTGGTATCATTTGCTCCACCCCCAGTCCCCCAAGGAAACGGGCCCCACGGCAGCGCTGCCCAGGGAACCATGTGGGCGGGCGGGCAGGGTGCTGCCGATGCTTGGAAGCTGCCCCCCGGCCCCAGTGCCTCACGGTGCACGCAGCCCCGCCCCACTCAACAGCGGCCAGCCTCAGGAGCTTCCCAACAGCGAGTTTATTTGTTTCTAGCAAAGTGCAACATCACACGGGGGGCAGTTAGTGCCGAGGGCGCCCGGCTGGGGAGCAGAGAGGGAGCCCCACGTGGCCCTCCAGAGGGCGGCGGGGGGGGGATCTGGCATGACTCGGTGCAGGGATGGCAGTGGAGTGGGCACGAAGCCAGGCCGCAGCAGGGGGACACCGTTACCAGCCCACGGTTGGGTGCACGTGGGAGCTCAGTCCCCACAGACCCAGCCCTGGCCCCATGCCAGGGAAATCAGGGGCCCCTTGGCACCTGGAAGGGACAGAGCAGGTGGCAGGGTGCCGTGGAGAGCCCTTTGGCACTGCATCAGGGGAAAGTGTAGGCTGTGGGCAAAGCATTCAGGGCCCCTGCTGTCCCGAGAAAACCCCCTAATGCCCCCATCCTTTTGTCACGGCTCAGCCCCCCCAACTCAGCCATGGGAAGGGGCCTCTCTGCCTGACGGCAGGCACAGGGCATCGGCTGCATTGGCATCTCCCTGGGGTGTGCTGTTTGCAGAGCTGGTGCGCTGGGCAGGGGCTGATGGCTCTGATCAAACTCTGGCCGTACGGATTTAGAGGGGGCACGCCCCTGCTCTGGCATCACCTTCCCCCAGGGGTCACCCCCTCCCAGCCCCCCCCAGCCTGGGACACAGCGCAGCAGAACAAACATCGCGTCCATACAGGGCTCTGGCTGCTGCCCTACACAGTACAGGGCTGGCTGGGGCCCCGCTCGGCTGGCGCCGCCTTCCCGGCTCTAGCCTTTGTCTGGCGGGCTGTTCTCCTTCCCGCGGGGGCCGTCCCTGTCCCGCGGGGGGCCGTGCCCACGGCGCTCCTTGCTCTGCTGCGTCGCCCGCCGCCGCGCTCTCTCCTTCCTGGCAAAGCTGCAAGTCCGAACGCACAGGGCGGGTTAGCGGGGAGGGGCTCGTGGGGAGCAGAAAGCGCAATGCCCCCCGGCCTCCCTCCTCCTCCCCTCCGCACACACCGGGGAGCCCCGGCTCCCCTCCCCTGCGCGCACAGAGCCACCTCCCCTGCCCCTGCTGCCTCGGCTGACGGTGCCACGTGCCCACCCACCGTAGGGCCCGGGCGGGGAGCGGAAAGGGGGCAGGCTCAGCCGTCCTCGCCGTAGGGCCCGGGGCGGAAGGGGGCAGGCTCAGCCGTCCTCGCCGTAGGGCCCGGGGGGGGAAGGGGGCAGGCTCAGCCGTCCTCGCCGTAGGGCCCGGGGGGGGAAGGGGGCAGGCTCAGCCGTCCTCGCCGTAGGGCCCGGGGGGGAAGGGGGCAGGCTCAGCCGTCCTCGCCGTAGGGCCCGGGGGGGGGAAGGGGGCAGGCTCAGCCGTCCTCGCCGTAGGGCCCGGGGGGGAAGGGGGCAGGCTCAGCCGTCCTCGCCGTAGGGCCCGGGGGGGAAGGGGGCAGCGGGAAGGGGGCAGGCTCACCCGTCCCCCCCGTAACGCTGCAGCACATACTCCTCGAAGTCATCGGCCGCCTCCTCGTCGCCCTGCTCCTGCTCCGCCAGCTCCTCCAGCAGCTCCGCCAGCTCCTCCACGACGTGGCGGAAGCGCGGGTGGTCGTGGGCGAAGGCGCCGTCGAGCCGGGCTGCCAGCCCCGAGAAGTGCTGCCCCCAGCCCAGCCCGGCCATGTAGCCCTTCAGCAGCCGCAGGAACTGCCCCCTCTGCACCGACGCCAGCTCGGCCCCAAGCAGCTCCAGCCCCTCGTGGCGGGCGCAGCCGGCCCCGCCGCTGCAGCCCTGGGGCGCCCGGTACCGCTGCAGCCGGGGCGGCTCCCAGAAGACGTTGTGCTCGTGGGGCCCCTGGAGCGCCCCCTTCCCACCGCCCGCCCGACGCTGCCCGTTCTGGTCCTTGGCCGGCCTGGCGTCCCGCAGCCCCTGGCGCCTGTGGGGCTCGGGCTGCTCCTGGCGCTTCGGGGGCTTGGCACCAGCCTGCTCCCTCCTCTCCCTGCCCCCCGGGTCCCCATGCCGGCGCCTCCGCTCCGCTCTGGTCTCCTGCCTCTTGTGCCACCCACCCTCCTTCCTGTCAGCTTTGGGTGGCTCCAGCCAGGGGGCGGGATGGCTCCGTGGCCCCTCTGCCTTCCCCGCCGCGCCCCCCGCTGTCGGTCTCTTCCCCGCTCTCCGCCCGCTGCAGCTCCTGTGCCAGCCGCTGCTCCACGCCGGCCAGCTCCACCCGCAGCCGCTCGGTCCCGCCCGAGCCCTGGGCTCGCTGCAGGGCCTCCTCCAGCTCCCGCCGCACGGAGCCCAGCAGCCCACGCTGCCTGGCCAGCTCCTGGGGCAGCAGCTGCTCCTCGGGGGGTCGCTCTGCACCCAGCCCCTCCCTCGGCCGCGGGGTCTCGGCCGCGCCCCCCTGCTCCAGGCCCTGCAGCTGCTCCCGCAGCGCCCGCAGCTCGGCCTGGGCGGAGCGGTGAGCCTCGGCCGCCTGCTGCAGCGCCTGCTGGAGCCGCGCGTTCTCCCCTGCCAGGCTCTGCTGCTGGGAGCCGACCGACGCCTTCTCCCCCTCGCTCTTCTGCAGCAGGGCCTGGAGCTCGTCCTTCTGCGCCTGCGGACACCGGGGGGGGTCAGGACAGACGGGTCCAAGCCTGGGGGAGGCAAACTGCCGCCGGCTGACCCAGGGCCCTGCCCAGTAACCCACCCCCCGGTGCCCTCTGCCCATATCTGCTCTGCCTATTCGTTAGGCTCCTCCCACCCAGATACAGCAAATGGCTCGAGCTCTGTCCACCCGTCCCCCCAGCACAGGCTGGAATTGCCCCGGGAGCTCAGCCGCGGGCCATCCCAGCGCACAGAGCGGGCGAGCCGGCCACAGACACGGCAAGGGGCGACGTGTCCGCAGGGCGATACACAGAGTTGGCTCCTGGACACCACACGGACCTGCTGCGGCTCACCCCGAGGCAGCTGAGCGCCCTGGCCCCGCTAGGAGCTGGCTCTGCCCTTGCCCGAGAGCTACAGCACAGACAGGATATGATGCAGCCAGTGCCCCCCGTGTGCTCCCCCCAAGCACCCACCTGCAGCTCCGCCTGCATGAGCCGGATGTCCTGGTTCTCCTTGGCCAGCTTGTCCAGAAGCAGGCTCATGGAGTGCAGGCTCTGGGGGTCCCCAGCCGTGTCCAGCGGGGGCTGCTGCAGGCAGTCCTGCGAGCGAGGGTAAAAGCTCGACTCTGTGACTGTACCAGGCACGTGAGAGCTAGGACGCCAGGGTTCCCCTCCCAGTTCTGCCCCAGCCCACCCTGCCTCCCTCTGTGCCTCAGTTTCCCCAGCAGGATGGGGCCAGCGGAGGGCAGACCTCACTGCAGCGCTGGCTACCCCAGGGGTGGGAGGGATCTCACGGCAGTATCGCGCAGGCCTGTGTGCCCGGGAAACAAAGGCAAGGAGGCCTGGGGCTGCATTTCCAGGACCCCTGCTCCCCCCAAAGCCAATGCCGGGGACACCCCCCTTGTTCAGCAGTGGGGTGCCAAGCTAGTCTCAGGCCTGGAGACCTCCCCTCGCCACATACCTTCACGCCAGCAGCCAGTGGCTGCTGCTCCCCATCTGGGATGTCCCTGGGATCCATGCTCTCTATGGGGCCTGGCAGGAAGGAAGGAGACGAGATTTGAACAGCCGACTGGTCTGTGTCCCAGCAGCTCCACACAGGCGGTCGGGGGGGTGTCAATGACACTGCCCCCTTCGCTCCCTAAGCGGGGAGTCTGGGGGTCGGAGACAGGCGGAGGCCCGGCGAGCGGGGCTGGAGCAGCGCGGCTGGTCAGTGAGGGGGAGACCCCCAGTACTTACCATCCCCAGGGTCGTAGATGGCACCTGGGGAGAGAAGTAGACGGTGAAGGAGACGCCAGCATCAGCCCCATCTGCCCCCCAGCAGCCACAGGGCCTCACTCACCGGAGAAGGCCAGGAGCCCGATGCCCAGGAGCGCCAGCACGCCCAGAAGGCATGAATTCACACGGAGCCCGCTCTCCCCGTCACTGGCTGCCTGGGCCCCACGGCGCTCGGCAGGGCCCCACGGGGCCTGGCGTGAGTCCTGCGGCTGCTGCCAGCGCAGACCCGCGGCATCATCCTCGCTGCTGCTCCCCTCCTCCTGCGGCTCCCCTGCGGAGAATGAGAGGAGCCCACCGAGAGCACCTCAGGGAGCTAGGCCCCGCCCCCAGCCACTTGGCCCCGCCCCCACTGAGCCAGGCCCGGCCCCGCCCCAGCCACTCAGCCCCGCCCCCACTGAGCCAGGCCCCGCCCCAGCCACTCAGCCCGCCCCCACTGAGCCAGGCCCCGCCCCAGCCACTCAGCCCGCCCCCACTGAGCCAGGCCCCGCCCCAGCCACTCAGCCCGCCCCCACTGAGCCAGGCCCCGCCCCCAGACCCTCGGCCCAGCCCTCACTGAGCCAGGCCCTGCCCCCAGACACTCGGCCCAGCCCCCACTGAGCCAGGCCCTGCCCCCACTGAGCCAGGCCCCGCCCCTGCTGAACCAGGCCCCGCCCCCAGAAACTCAGACCAGCCCCCATTGAGCCAGGCCCTGCCCCGCCACCACATTCAGACCAGCCCCCTGCTAAGCAGCCCCCACCATTGAGCCATGGTTCCCTCCCACACTCTCTCTCCCCTGAGACAAACACCTACTGAGCTGGGCCCCCCCAACACTCAGACAGGCTCCCCACTGATCTCTCTGTAGAGGGGTGGGGGCTGTGCACCAGTCTCTAGGGGCGAGTCCTGCACAGCACCCCTGTGGCCCAACCCTGGAGCCTGTCCCTGGAGCCGCCCAGTGACTTGGGACCCACCTGCTCTGCCAGTGGGCGCGGAGCCTGAGGTGTTGGTGTCAGAGCCCAGCTTGGGGCCCTCGGAGCCTGGCCCTTCCTGCGCCTGGATCTCTGACGCCTCGTGGCCCAGAGCGCCAGGCCTGGGGGAGGCTGCTGGGCTTGGGGTCTCCCGGGGATACTCCTCAGAGTCCTGGGGACAGAGCAATGCTGTCAGGATCCATGCGCCGCCCACCCCCATGTGGTTCTCCTCCCGGGACGCAGGCAGGGCACCCTGGTCCCAGCGGGCAGGAGCTCTGCAGAAGAGACCCCGGGTGGGGCTGTGTGCCCTGGCTTGTCTAGCACCTTCCCCCATCACGACAAGGCAGCATGGGAGTCTAGCTCTAGATCCGACCCCCGACATCAGGGATTAGGTAATGATGCATACTGGCCTCGTTACCTAGGCTGCCAAAGCTAACACCCCCCTTGCTGGGGGACAGATCTGAGCATTTATCTACAAAATCCAGCTGCAGGGCGTCTGCTGTCGCCCAATCTTGGTTGGGTGCAGGGATCAGGGGAGCGAGCCTGGATCCCTGCGTGCAGCTGAGGGCCATGCTCCAAGCACTACCAGCTAATGCACCAGAAGTACCAACTGTAATCTTTGTCCATCTCCTCGTAACTCTCTCCTGCGGGCAATGTTCCCTCTAATTTTTGACAGGCCGTGTGCGCGAAAAATTTCTTCTGTGCAGATTGCTGGGTGGGCGGGGTTTCGCCATGTGCACGGGGTTTAGGAGCCGTGCGCACGTGCAAACAGCTTAGTGGGAACGGTGCTGCGGGTGCTGGGTCCTCACAGGTCCAGCCAGCAGCGGAAAAGCATGCGGTTTGGCTGGTTGGTCAGTTGTACTGATTGAGCTCTCTGAGCTGATGTACTTAGCTGAACAAAGAACCGGTTCAGGGGTGACTTGATCCCCCCTCTGAGGATCTACCTGGGAACAAATATTAAATCAGGGGCTCGTCCGTCTAGCAGAGGAAGGTCTATCCGGAGCCGTGGCTGGGAGTTAAAGCTAGACAAATTCAGACTGCAAGTCAGGTGTAAATATTTAACTGTGAGGGGAATTAACCATTGGGTAGTACTGGGTTCTCCATCACCGAGTGGCTGGTTTTCTAACCGCTCTGCTCTAGGGATCACTTGGGGGTGGGTCTCTGGCGTGGGCATCTGTGACCCTCCCTCAGTAAACGTACCTTGAACTCAGCCTCCTCAGGACAGGGGGACGTGTTCAGCTGGGAGCCTTCACTCTTCTTGCCTGGAGAGGCGCTGGCTGGGGAGAGATGGCCTTGTTAGCATCCAGCGGCCCAGAGGGCAGCGAGTGGGGAGGCCAGCGTGTCCCCAGTGCCGGGGGAGGGGGACGGGAGCTAGGGCCCTTCTTGCCCAATGCAGAAGCCCTGCTGGGCACCTGCGGAAGCCCCCCACCCCCTCCGCCCCCAGCCAAAAGGGGCCCAGGGATCCTCTCCCTCAGCCCAAAGTGGAAGAGAGAGCTGAGAACCCAGCCAGGAGGCCAGAGCAACCCATGGGGCGAGTGGGGGGGACGGGGCAGGACAGGGAGATTGAGAGGAAGAAGGACTGGGCAGGGTGAGAGGGCTGGTGGGGAACTAGGGGCAGACGGTGAGAGAGCTGGGCAGGCCAGGGGGGCTGGATGAGGGTAAGCCGGAGGCAGACAGCTGGGGGGCTGTGCTGTGCAGATGGGCTGGAAGCTGGGGACAGACAGCCCAGGGGGCTGGGTAGGACGGGAGCGGGGGGGCTGGGCAGAGGGAAGCCAGGGGCAGACAGCCAGGGGGCTGTGCCATGCAGACGGCTGGAAGCTGGGGCAGACAGCCCAGGGGGCTGGGGCAGAGGGAAGCTGGGGCAGACAGAGGGGCGGCAGGGAAGCCAGCCAGGGGCTGTGCCATGCAGACGGGCTGGAAGCTGGGGACAGACAGCCCAGGGGGCTGGGTGAGACGGGGGTGGGGGGGGCTGGGCAGAGGGAAGCCGGCAGACAGCCAGGGGGCTGGGCAGAGGGAAGCTGGGGGCAGACAGCCAGGGGGCTGCACTAGTGGGGCTCATCCCATATCTGCTCCGTTCACGTGCCCATGTGCGCACCCTCGGTGTGGTGCCCCTTGGGGACGGTGTGTCCTGCTGGCTCCTCATCTGCGGGTGTCTGGGTGGCTGCGCCCAGCTCTGGGCCCACGGTTTCCACAGGAAAACCCTGGAGACACAGAGGGCTGGTTACCCCAGTCCCTACCTGCCCCCTGGTGCTCCCCAGGCACAGCCCAGCCCTGCCCCGCCCTGCCAGGGACAGCAGGGAAGACCCTCGGATGCTGAAATGAGAGTTCCTGGGTTTCAGATCCCCACCCCCGCTGCCCCCTGGGATGTGTTTGGGGCCCACGGTTTGGGCCTGGACCCCGTACCGCCACCAACCCAAGGGGGGGGGGGGCAGCACAATGACACCCCTTGCCCAAGGGCAGGCAGCTCTGAGTCCCCCAAGACCCCCGAGCAGGAGGCAGCAGCTGCTCCCCTCGCGAGAGGGGCAGGGATTTAGGGAGTGCTGGTAAAGGGGGTTTCAGCAGCTGGGTGTTCAGCAGAGGCCAGGGAAAGCCCCCTACCCCCGAGGAGCTCTGCACCCCAGACCAGCGGGAAAAGGAGCAAGAACCGAAGAGACCACCTTGGCCAGGGCAAGTTCTGGTCCCCCCCTTGGTACATCTCCACCCTGCAGCCCAGGGCCTCCTCCTGTACCCCGGAGCCTGCGATCACCCAGCTGTTATCCGAGTCCCGCGAGTCCGAGTTCTCAGCCATTCCTGCTCCGGTCCCAGGACAGCCCGGATCCCACCTGCAGGACAGAGGGGTCAGTGCTGGGGCAGCCAGCAGGGACCTGGCTGCAGCGACCTGGGACTACGGCCAGCGTGTGGGCCCAGGGGAGAGACACTGCCCAGAGCACAAGGGACAGGGACTTTGCCAGGCTCTGGGTACCCAGCTGAGGCTCTGCCCTGGGTGATTTGACTTGCAAAGGAAAATTTGCAAATGGAAACAAAGAGACCTTCAGGCCCTGTTTCCGTGCAGCTTGGCCTCACAATGGGAGTGGGAACGCCATGTTCCCACTGCTGTGCGACACAGCTCCAGGCCAGACGGGAGCCAGGAAGAGACCCCACCCCCCCCCTCTAACCACTGGGCTTTATTTCCTACCCGAGCTGGGAATAGAGCCAGGAGGCTGAGCTGCCAGCCCCACCTGCTCTCACCCATTAGTCCCCTCTTCCTTGCAGGGGTCGTGGGGTCAGGGTGCCTGCACTGGGAGAGGGCTCGGAGTGTGCGGCCCCATGCGGGTTTGGCACCGTTGATAACACAGACCCCTGGTCCCCCAGCCAGGCATGGTGTGGGGAGGGCAGCCTCATTCCCCGGACAGGTTCTGAGGGCTGGAGATCAGGGGAAGGGGGCAGGGAGGAGCCAGCTACCGCATTCCCCTGCCCAGCTGCCAAGGAGCCCCGGCCCACCCCTGGGGGCGGGGGCATTCCCAGCTGGCACAGGACATGGTGTATGAAGCCCCAGGCCTCAGACAACAGCTGGCAGCCCAGAGAAGGGGAGGGAGTCCAGGTGCCAGGCTCCTCAGACTCGGGCTGGGACTGGAGCTCCAGGTGGTTCTAGAGAGAGGGGTCACTCCCAATTGCCCGTCTCTGAGCTCCCTGCCCCTGGGGCTCTTGGGATTTCACCCAGGAGCTTCCTTCCCACCCGGAGCAGACCTCACCCCAACTGCCCCTGCAGTGACGTCACAAAGCAAACTCCATGACATCACAATGTTTCCATGACAGTAAGATGAAGTCACACAGGTTTGGTTCACATAAAAGGAAGAGCTGAGCTGGGAGGGAGCCCTTAATAGACATACCTGTGGCAAGCAGGACAGTGGGGGCTGGGAGCCAGGACTCCTGGGTTCTATTCCTGGCTTTGATGCCACAGACTCACTGTGTGACCTTGAGGGAGTCCCTTCCCCGCCATGTGCCTTGGTTTCCCCATTAGTACAATGGGGATAAAGATCCTGCCCCTGTCCTGGGGCGGCTGTGAGGTTTGGGCTCTCCCACTTCAGCACCAGCCCAGGGGAGCGCAGGAGGATCCTGGCTGCAGCCCTGCCCTCTCGAGCACTCGCTCTCCCAGGGCAGGTCACCAAGTTCTCAAGAGAAGCAGGAAGTGCCCCAAGGTGAGGAAAGGGAGGAAACGCTGCAGGCAGGTGAGACCCAGCTGGGCCCTGCAGAATGCGGGTGCAGCCTGAGGGGGCCCACGGCCCAGCCCCTGGGGTGACTCAAGAGGGTCTACAGCAGTGGTTCTCAAGCAGGTGTCCGAGGCCCCTGGGGAGCTGCAAGCAGGTTTCATGGGGTTCTCCAAGCATGGCGAGCGTTAGACTTGCTGGGGCCCAGGGCAGAGAGCCGAAGCCCCACCGCATGGGGCTGAAGTCCGAGGCCCTGAGCTGCCCCACCACCCAGGGCTGAAGCCGAAGCTGACTGATGTAGCTTCATGGGGGCCCCTGTGGCATGTGGACCCCAGGTAATTGCCCTGCTTGTTACCCCCTAATACCGGCCCTGGCTTTTGTATGCAGAAAACCAGTTACTGTGGCCTAGGGGGGGGCCCTGGAGTTTTTATAGCATGTTGGGGGGGGGGCCTCAGAAAGAAAACGGTTAAGAATCCCTGGTCTACAGCAGGGCTTCAAGCATGAGCCAAGCTTCCTGGAGAGCTGCCCGGGGCACCCGTCTCCCCACACGGTCCTGTTCCCTGCGCAGCCCCCACCCTGCATTCCCCTCGGCCCAGCCCCTGCCTGCCCTCCCCCTCTCGATCCCCAGGCCAATGACACCAGTTGCAACATGGGAAAGCGACAGGGGGGAGCTACTTTTAGCTGCTTTTAACGCAGTTGAGCAGGTGGAAGTAGAGATGGTGACGCTCCATCTGCCCCGCGGCTCCAGGGGGACAGGGCAGCTGCAGCTCAGCACGACGGGCCCCTGGGCACGGCTGGGCAGGGGGGTGCCATTCTGTCCCCTGCTCCCCGGGCGCTGCACAGCAGCCGTCTCTGCTGGCAGCGCCTCACGGGAAGGAAGTGGCAGAAACGAGTTTATCGGAGCCGGGCGGGTGAGACTCCCTCCCCGGGGACGCCATGGCAGCGGGAGCGGGCACACTGGGAGAGCGACGTGGGGCGGCGGGCACAGCCCCAGGGGCCAGGCACAGCCCCAGGGGCCGGGCAGGGAGCAGAGCGGAGGAACCTGATCCTCGGGTGAGACTCTGCTGTGCTGTGGAAGGCCCGGCCCGGCGAAGGCGCCAAGGGCATCGTCGGGCGCCTTGGCCCGGCGCCTGCTGCCGGGCACTTTCAGGGGCCTCCCTGAGCTGGTGAATGGAGGGGGTCCCTAGCTAAACTCACCCAGTGCAGGGTTCTCGGCCTCGCAGGACCCCCGCTCCCAGCCAGCCCCTCTGCCCACTCGGGAACAGGACCCCAGGCTGGGCGCACCGGGCCGGCAGATCCCCGCCGCTCACCCCACTGGGCTGCGTGCCAGGGGCCCCCACCCAGCTCGGGCTCAGCCGCTCGCCCAGACTATCCTGCACCCGCCGGTGAAGGCGCCCAACCCCCGGGGTCCTCTCCGAGCACCGGCCCGCCCGGCCGCGCCCCTGGCCAGGCCAGAAGGGGGCTGCCCTGGGAACGGGGCGATGGGACTGCGAGACCCCAACCTCAGCCCCCCGGGACGCGGGCTGCAGCCGGGCCAGGGGCTCCGCTCCCCGCGGCCTCACTGACCTGCTCCGGGCTGGCGGGGGCGCTGGGGTCCCGGCTCCGTCTCCCGGGAGGGTCCCGGCTCCGGCGCGCGGCAGCAACTTTGTATCAAACTCCGCCAGCTGCTCGCAACACTCCGGGGCGGGCGGGGAGGGCGCACGTGACCCGCGCAGCCAATAGCAGCCACCCCCTGCTCCCAGCTGTCGGGGGGGGGCAGTGAGGAGGAGACAGGGACTCTCCCCCCCCCCAGCGCTCGGGACGGGGCCAGCCCTGGCAGGACCAACCCCCCAGCTGGGGGGCGGCCCCGTGGGGGCGACCGGCCCTTTCCTCCCGCCCGCCGGCCTCGCCCCCGGGGGCGACGCCCAGGAGCGCGCGTGGCAAGGAAAGGCCCGTGTCACCCCTCGGGGCTCGGCTCCCCCAGCAAAGCCCCCGTGGGGCAAGGGGAGCAGGGAGGCCGACAGGCACCTGCCCTGCACAGGGCTGCTGGCCTTCCCACCACTCGTTGCTTTGCGTCGACAAAAGGGCCAGCGAAGCCCGGGCCTTGGACTCTTGGGGCAGGCTAGATGCTACCCGGGGGTGCCGATAACCAGCTCGAGCACCAGCTAATATACCAGGCTGGGGGGTCACTGCTGGCACCATCCTGGGAGAGGCTAACAGAGCAGAACTTCTCAGCTAAGGGGGCCCCAGTTCAGCAAAACGAACCCAATGCAACAGGGGGCATTAGAAAAGGTTCAGAAAAGGGCAACTAAAACAATGAGGGGTTTGGAACAGGTCCCCTATGAGGAGAAATTAAAGAGGCTAGGACTTTTCAGCTTGGAAAAGAGGAGACTAAGGGGGGATAGGATAGAGGTCTATAAACTCATGAGTGGTGTGGAGAAAGTGAAGAAGGAAAAGTTATTTACTTGTTCCCATAATAGAAGAACTAGGGGCCACCAAATGAAATTAATGGGTAGCAGGTTTAAAACAAATAAAAGGAAGTTCTTCTTCACTCAGCGCACAATAAAGCTGTGGACCTCCTTGCTTGAGGAGGTTGTGAAGTCTAGGACTATAACAGGGTTTAAGAGAGAATTGGATAAATCCATGGAGGTTAAGTCCATTAATGGCTATTAACCAGGCTGGGTAAGGAATGGTGTCCCAAGCCTCTGTCAGAGGGTGGAGATGGATGGCAGGAGAGAGATCACTTGATCCTTACTTGTTAGGTTCGCTCCCTCTGGGGCACCTGGCATTGGCCACTGTCGGCAGACAGGACACTAGGCTGGATGGACCTTTGGTCTGACACAGCATGGCCGTTCTTATGTGTCTCAGATGGACGGACAGACAAGAGTCTGATTTCAAAGAGTTTTATAGCTGGACAATACAAAAAGTTTTCCTTTAATGCTCAGACGGTTAAAATGGGGCAAGACTGTGCCCCCTGGTCCTGCAGAAAGCTCTGGGAGGTTAAAAACTATTACAAACCACACCAGCAACCACTTTACAAAAGGGAACAAGTCATCAAAACAGCAAAAAAATTAACAAACCCAGGAGATTTCCCCAACACACCTGAGAGCAGCAGGGCCCAGCCAGCTCCAAGCCCCTCACACAGCACACAGGCCAGCTGCAGCCCTGTCCAGGGTGCCCAGCGAGGGTTGGGATGACCCATGGCTACTAAATACGAGCAGCTGTTAGCCAGCTAGCAGTCCTGCATCCGGGCAACGTGTGTACGCAGCTGGGTAAAGTGTGCGCCTACCAACACAGCCCCTGTGCCATGCGCCAAGCTGCTCCCAGTGCTTCTCAGCTCAGCCCACTCACCCTGTCCATTCCCCACCCACAGCTCATGACAGGCCCCCACCACTGGCCTGCCCACCTCCCTCAGCCATTTGGAGCAGTAAGATCCCATCCCATCTACCAGGCCAGGCTCTGGGTTCCCCGCTCCCCCCAGGAGTCTCTCTCTCTCTGCTGTAACTGGTTCCAGACAGTTACACCCCTACACCTGGCTTGCTAATCTCACTCTGCACCACTGGTGGGAAGCAAGCTGCCCCCTGCACCGGCTAAGGGGTGCGCTCAGCCCCTGGGGCTCTGCAGCTCTTGCTGACACCAGAAGTAAACGCAGGGCCCTGAATCTGGGAGTCTGTTCCAGAATCCCCGCTTTGAGTTAAAAGCGTGGGAGCTGAGAGACCTTCACAAACACGACCGAGTGCAGCCGCGGCCTGCCTGAGCCCCCACAGGACCGGTCATGACAGCAGCTGGACAGGCAGCCGCAGGAACCCAATGGGCTGGTGATCGGAGCAGCACGGGAGGTTGGGAGCCAGGGAGACAAGCCCTGCAGCAGGCTACATCCCTGGTACAGATGGAAGGGAGGCACCTCTGTGCTGGGCTGCTGGCCACCCCACGAAAACACCTTCACACGCACTGCTGCCTACTGCCTGTGCGTGGGAAGGGGGGCAGGAGGGACTCCCGGACAGACTGAGCTGACAGTGCCATGCCGTTCAGAAGCTGCTTCCACGGGCCTGGGTCCCGCTGTGCCAGAGGATGTGGCCGGCTCACAACATGTGCATTTCCGACCTGTGCACCCCCCACGCTCCGGCCACAGTGGGACCTGCCGCGCCTCCCAGCCCCACAGCCTGCCACATGTGACATAACTCACGGTAGAAAGGGGCACGCACAGCTTCTGCTCAGCTGCGTAACCGCCCACTGGCTTTCATGGGCACCCAGGAGGCAACAGGCACCGTCCAACCAATGATGAAATGGAGCAGCCCAAAGTGTGAGGACATCTAATGATGGCTGTGGAGCCCCTGGGGCCACGTCTCCCAGCTGCTCTCAGCAGCCCCTCGGGCTGGAAGGTGACTCATAACCAAAGCTGGGTCTCACCTAATCTGGGTCCAGGGCTGGAGCTTTACAGAAACCCGCAGAGCTGTTCCTCCCAGGGGGGCAGGGTGCCGAGAGCACTGGGGCCGGGGGTCCCATCGCAGATGCTATTCAAGAGTGATCAGTGACCAGGAGAAGCCACCTCGCGCCTGCAGCAGGCCAGGAGCAGGCCTGGCTCAGCCCAGCCAGGCAGAGCAGGCTGGGGCTGCGCTCCAAGGGGCCTGCGTTGTAGCTACTCGGGACATGCGTGGAATCCCGGCGAGGCGTGAGAACGCGTGCAGGGCACCGGACACGGCCTGGGGAAAGGGAGCGAAAGCTGCCTTCCCAGCTGCTCAGAGGCACGCTGGCAGCCACACCCTGTGCCACAGACCCACCGCCCTCCCCTCCGGCAACAGCACAGGGCCGAGTGTTGCTTGGGAAGCGGCAGTTCAGGGGTGGGACACCCCCCCAGTGCAAAGGGCTCAGTGTGCTGGTTCTGCTACAAGCCCCTGCCAGGAGACAGAGCCCAGCCCTGGCTGCCGGGGGCAGGGGATCTGTAACGCTGCTCTGGCCTGAGCTCCCAGCTCTAGTGGTCACACCACAGCTCCCCCACCACCAGGACACAACCCCCGCCAGCTCTGCCCCACTTCTACCCCACAGAGACTGCTCCAAGCATCAGCATTTGCAGGATACCCCCTTCCCCAGGGCTCTCTGTGGGACAGTTGTTTACTCTGCCTCCAGACAGAAATTCTGGCACCACTGGCTGCTCAGCTTGGCCAGTGACAGAGACCTCAGAGCCCCATTCTGGACTTCACACTCTGGGCTGGCAGGTGTGGGGGTAAGGAGGGGGGCGGGGCAGGAACTGGTCTTGCCTCTCGTTCCGATGGATGCTCCGAGTATTTTAAAAGGGGCATGAGCTGCACCAGGTCCAGCCACACAGATGAGCAAGAACAGAGAGGAAACTTTACCAAAGCCAGACGCCAGCACTCAACATTGTCTCTTGCACGCAGGGAGAGAGGTGGCTACAAAAGAAGGGTGGGGGGGAGTGGCCCGAAAACCAAGCAGGGATCTGTACAAGGTGAGGGTAGCATGGCCCCTCCCTAGCTGGGCCCAGCGCCCACTCAGCCGTCATTGGCTGCCACCAGCTGCCCCATACCCTCCCGGATGTACACTGACTGGATCTCCTTGGTCTTCAGGCAGTAGTCACAGGCCCAGACGGCCGAGGCCTCGGTGGTGAGCAGCCCGTAGGCATTCTCCGTCATGCCTGTGCACTCCCGGTGGAACCACTTCTGGCAGGAGGCCTCACACAGGATGGCGTCCTGGTCATCGTTCACCTCGCTGCGGCAGGCCCCGCAAGGGTACACCAGGCCCGGCGGTGGCTGGTGCCCAGAGTTGCCAGATGCCTTGCTGGAGGGAGGGAGGCTGTTAGTTTCGGGGGTGCTGCTGCTCCGGCTGGCGCTGCTGGGGGCGAAGCTCGGCTGGGCCCCATTCACTGCGGCTGGTGAGCCTGAGTGCAGGTCCTGGCTGAAGGTGCTGGGAGGGGGGTTGAGGTTCTTCCCCCCATCATCCCCTCCAGTCGGGAAGCCAGGGTCAGCCCCAGGGAAGGGGCTGGTGTTTGGGGGCAGGTTCTGGCTGGGCCGCTGCATGGGAGACTGTCCAAAGAGATTGGCAGGCTGACTGAATCTCTGGGCCATGGGGGGGCCAGCAGGGGGATTCAGGGCAGGCCCTGGTGTCATGTCTCCCCGGGGAGGCTGCCCCATGGTGGGGGAGATCATGGGCCCAAAGCCCCCGACTGGCCCCTGCATGAGCTGCCCTGCGGGGGGGCTGAAGCTCTGTCCGAGAGGCTGGTTGAAGGGCTGGCTGGGGAAGCTCATGCCACCAGGCTGCACGTAGTTGGGGTTCTGGGGGGGCATGCTGAAGGCTGGGCCCATCTGGCTCGGGGCAAAGGGCGGGGGCTGCCTCCGCATGGCCTGGGGGCCCCCTCCGTAGCCTGGTGGCACCTGGGATGTCATGCCCCCCTGCATGCGGAAGTTCCCAAAGGGCACAGGGTTGCCAAGGAACGGAGCCGACGAGGCCCCCACTTTAGGCGTTCCAAAGTCATCTTCAAAGGGGTTGGAGGCCACCAAGTGGTCGACCATTGGAGTTGGGGGCGGGGCGAACTCCGAGAGATGGGAATAGGCAGGGCCCTGTGGGGAAAAGGCACAGGAGTTAGTGAGGGGCTCACCCATGCAACAATCAGGCATGTGGGGCCCAACCTGCCAGAAGCACAAGGCCCTCAGCTCCTGCTGGTGCCAGGAAGGGCCTGGGAGGAGAGAGAGCGAAAACTGGCAGGGCCAA